GAAAGAAAGAAAGAAAGAAAGAAAGAAAGAAAGAAAGAAAGAAAGAAAGAAAGAAAGAAAGAAAGAAAGAAAGAAAGAAGAATGAAAGAAAGAAAGAAAGAAAGAAAGAAAGAAAGAAAGAAAGAAAGAAAGAAAGAAAGAAAGAAAGAAAGAAAGAAAGAAAGAAAGAAAGAAAGAAAGAAAGAAAGAAAGAAAGAAAGACAAACGAGATTGCTGATCCTGTATAAACGAATCCTGAAAGCCTGAATTTATAACAAATAAGAAAATGACAGCACATTTCAGCCAAACGGCTCCCGTTCGCGACCTTTCCGCCATTAAACAGGTTTCAGGATATGACGTAAGTGAGAATCCGCCATTGATTTCGCCTGGGTGTGATGAAAACTAATGATTCGTGCTCCGGTCGATGGACCCCGAAACGAAATTACTTGGCGTATTTATAGGAACGACCATTCTTGCTAGCATACTTTTTCTTCATTTTCCTTGTGAATTTGTATCCATCACCGTTGCGAAGATCTCATTGCTAAGATTTGCCGGGCATGTTCTGGATCAAATATGAAAGCGGAGTTTTCCCCATCACACAGAATTTGATTCGTATTTAATCTCTAGAAAGAATAAAATCCAAACCCCAGGCAAAGAATTGCCTCTCTCCTTCCTTTCATCTATCATTCCCTCTCTTTTCTATCATTGTCTCTCTCCTTTTTTCTCTCACTCCTCCTTCCTTTAACCTTCTTCCATCTCTCTCTCTCTCTCTCTCTCTCTCTCTCTCTCTCTCTCTCTCTCTCTCTCTCTCTCTCTCTCTCTCTCTCTCTCTCTCTCTCTCTCTGTGTGTGTGTGTGTCTGTCTCTCATTTGGAAAATCTTCCTCATACATTAATAATCCCACTATGGTTCAAATAACTTGAAGCCTCAACCCAACGGAAGCATCAAGAAAGCACATACTTCAGTTACCACAAGAGCCACAAACGACCCCAAAAAATGAGCAATAGAAGTGCAGCCAAGCGCCAAATTTGTTAAGAGCCCTTCCATCCCAGCTTTGATGGACAGCAACTGTTTAAATATTTCATAGCAGAAAAGGTTGGGACATGTCTAGGAAGCGACATTAGGCTCTCTGTGTGTCAAATCATGTTGTCTGACATGTTGACGTCAGTGATAGCTGCACGGGTCTCTGCTGGCGCACTGAGCTCCACTCAAGTGAAGGTGGGCAGAGGCAGGCTGAGGCAGGGGAGGTGGGCTGAGGCAGGGTGAGGTGGGCGGAGGCAGGGTGAGGTGGGCGGAGGCAGGGAGGTAGGCTGAGCCAGGGGAGGTGGGCTGAAGCAGGGTGAGGTGGGCTGATGCAGGGTGAGGTGGGCCGAGGCAGGGTGAGGTGGGCCGAGGCAGGGTGAGGTGGGCGGAGGCAGGGAGGTAGGCTGAGCCAGGGGAGGTGGGCTGAAGCAGGGTGAGGTGGGCTGAGGCAGGGTGAGGTGGGCTGAGCCAGGGGAGGTGGGCTGAAGCAGGGTGAGGTGGGCTGAGGCAGGGTGAGGTGGGCTGAGCCAGGGGAGGTGGGCTGAGCCAGGGGAGGTGGGCTGAAGCAGGTGAGGTGGGCTGAGGCAGGGTGAGGTGGGCTGAGCCAGGGGAGGTGGGCTGAGGCAGGGGAGGTGGGCTGAGGCAGGGTGAGGTGGGCCGAGGCAGGGTGAGGTGGGCGGAGGCAGGGAGGTAGGCTGAGCCAGGGGAGGTGGGCTGAAGCAGGGTGAGGTGGGCTGAGGCAGGGTGAGGTGGGCCGAGGCAGGGTGAGGTAGGCTGAGGCAGGGGAGGGTGGGCTGAGGCAGAGTGAGGTGGGGGTGAGGCAGGGTGAGGTGGGCTGAGGAAGGGTAAGGTGGGCTGAGGCAGGGGAGAAGGACTAAGGCAAGAGATGTGGGCTGAGGTAGGGTGAGGTGAGCCGAGGCAAGGGGAGGTGGGCTGAGGCTGACTTTAACACAGGTCGTGGGCCGAGGCAGAATGACTTAGTTTCCTTTTACCTTGTGGTACCAAAAACGTTAGGTTGAAGTCTGATGTGTGAGAGTGGAGACGAGCAGTGCGATCTTAAGGCGCGGGACCCCTGGGCACTTACACGAGGCATTGGGGCCCGATGTTTATCTGTGCATGTCTAGTGACTAGCCATGAATAAAAATGTCATTTATGTGAGTGGTTGTACTAAGGGTGCCAGCACACCGGTTTTCCCAGAGCCCCACAATGCTGTTCAGACGGTTCAGGGGGTGAGTGTTTGATGGTTACTTATTAGACGTAAGAGTGTGTGTGTGTGCGTGTATGTGTGTGTTTGTGAGAGAGGGTAAGAGTAAGAGAATGTGTGTATTTTGTGTGTTTCGGTGGGTGGGCAGTGTGTTTTATTATGTGAGCTACAGTGTATAAAGGCGAGAGGGCTTTTAGACACACAATAATATGTGTTTGTGTGTCTAAAACATTCTGTGAATGTAGGACAGTAATTTTTGCATGGAAGTGAGTGCGGGTTATCTAGTGTATTAGTGTGAGACAGTGTATGATTGGCAGTAAGTGAGTGTGTGGCAGCTAGTATATTAGTGTGAGATGGTGTGTGATTGGCAGTAAGTGAGTGTGTGGCAGCTAGTATATTAGTGTGAGATGGTGTGTGATTGGCAGTGAGTGAGTGTGTGGCAGCTAGTATATTAGTGTGAGATGGTGTGTGATTGGCAGTAAGTGAGTGTGTGGCAGCTAGTATATTAGTGTGAGATGGTGTATGATTGGCAGTAAGTGAGTGTGTGGCAGCTAGTATATTAGTGTGAGATGGTGTGTGATTGGCAGTGAGTGTGTGGTGACTAGTGTATTAGTGTGAAACCATTTGTGATTGGCAGTGTGTTGTGTCAGTATGTAAGTGTGGAAGCCCAGATCAGTTTGAAAATGTCACATGAATTTGATGTGGAACATATCACCACCACACGATCAAACAAGCGTGTTAGAAACTGGGCCATCCCAACTCCTCGCCAAAAGAGGTTAAAAAGCCAAATTCTGGAGACCTAGTATTTCCTCAGTCCTGTCAATAACTATAAGAAGAGCATGCTTGTGATTGGCCATTGCTTTTTGAAAGCTCAGGTATAACGATAGATACGTAGGTGTGGAAGGCAACGGAAAACGCTATATTCTTTCAGGGAAAGGTGTATATGCGTCAGACTCTAGTTTGGACAGAATAATTTGAGACAACTTGGCAACTGCCTCCCATTTCTTTTTCTGCCTTTGTATTTAGGTGGACCGCATGTGTTCAACCATCTCATCTCATCCCAGATCCGATGTAAAAGACTTGAAGTCTACTCGTGATTGAATGTTGCATTTTGCAGCTGCAATTTTCCGGTACATTCCCAACCCCACAGATGACGTCACAGGACAGTCCAATATTTTTTTTTAGGGTGGTAAGAGTGGGCTTTTGAGCTGTTTGTATGTCTTCCAAGGCGTTGCCAAGGTTTTGGCGAGTTTCTTTCATCTCTGCAGCGACTTTTGTTGCAGCGTCATCTCTCCAGCGATGACTTGTGTGTCCAGTCTTCATTGCCATAAATTTCCTCGAACTAGCAAACAAGCGACATAGACAGACACTGATTAGAGTCTTGCATGTGTGAGTTTCTGTGGCGTAAACGCGCTTAACGTGCGGGTGGTGACGTGTTTGCCACTTTTCTGGCCGACATTGTTGCATTCTGACAGCCAAAACAATAGTCTATCGTCTCTGCTGCTGCCGCTGCAACAGTTGCCACATTCAGACCTCTCTCCAGATCCACTTTGGGCGGGAACCCAGCAATATACATCTAAAATAACTGGCTGTCTTAAGCCCTTCCCCCCCCCCCCTCCCCCAGTTCCCGAAACTGTCAATTATCTGATTACACACAGAGTTCTATACAAATAAATTGCAAAACAGCACACACACACACACAAACTGACACCAAAACATCCACAACTGGCCCTAACCCCAACCCACCTACGACCCACGAAGGAGTGCAGCAGCCTAGGGCCTTCTCCCCAGCACACAAAAAACCTAAGAAAACACCTCCTTCCTCCCTGTCTGTGTAATAAGTTACCCCGTAACTTCACAAACAGGCTCCAGAAACACGCGGGGAGGGGCAGGCATTTGCAAATACAGAATTAAACTGTCAACAACAAATTCGCCTCAGTGAGGTAGACAGTACAATTATTCAAGATAATCAAAGTTGTTATTCGGTTTTGTTCCCCCCCCCCTCCCCCACTCACTTTCTCTCTCTCTCTCTCTCTCTCTCTCTCTCTCTCTCTCTCTCTCTCTCTCTCTCTCTCTCTCTCACTATCTCTCACTCTCTCTCTCTTCTCTCTCTCTCTCCCCCCTCTCTCTCTCTCTCTCTCTCTCTCTCTCTCTCTCTCTCTCTCTCTCTCTCTCTCTCTCTCTCTTTCACTTATGATCGTACAGAGACCTTCTTCTAGTATGCTTTATTAGTGAACAACTATACTCAGAATGATTGAAATGGGTTAGACAGCTCGAAGGCAGTAGCTGGAGACGGCTGCAGTTTATTTCTATTGTGCTCTATGGTGTGACAGTGCAAGAGGAATTGAACAGGCGATAGGTTTGTTGGTAGGAATACCGCTGGGAAAAGACAGGCAGCTGGACCGGCTGTTATACAACAAGAAAGAGATTAAACGAATCAGTTGATGTCAACGAGTCTGCAACCAGGACCAGACGGCAAGAAAAGCAAATCACAAGCAGCGAGATCAGCCACCGAGGATTAGCTTTCGAATGCCCCCACTGTGTTTATTTCATTTATTTATACGGAGACTTATTTTATGTGTCATATTTTATTGAAATAGTGTTTATTATTCATCTGCAGGCCAATTCCCATACACCTGGCACGATCATCAGACTCGCAGAGATTCAGGCTGCCACTCTCCTTAGAAAAACCCAAGCGACCAGTTCCACCCTTATGGAACCCAGCCCTCGATATTTGCTCGACACCCGTGCCCAGTATCTCAAAGGCTGAGACTCATGTGTCGCGGAAGTTGAATATGCCAACAGCGCTACATATGCCAGTACCATGTTCCGAGTTATCCTCATCTTTGGTAACCACGTCAGCAAGTAGGAGGTCAGAAAGTAGGTCTTCAGAAACCAAATCACCGGCTGTGAAACTATTAACAAAATCGCAACTCTCGCCTTCGGTGACTCTGAAAGCCCAACCAGTGGCTTGTACGATACCTCACGAACAGCTACATAGATATTTTCCAAGTCGGCTGGAGAGTCCGCTGGCAGTTCTCGCTTCTAAAGGACTATTTCCCAACTTTCTTGGATCACCAGAGTCTCTACTAGCCCAGACCTCCCACAGCGCCGGAGTTGTTCATCCCAGTTTGTCTTTAGCCATTTCCGAGCACCAGCTAGCCATCCAGAATGCCATTTCCTTTGCGCAGTCTAGAGCTGTCATGGAACATATAACTAGTCATCCGCATATCCCTGCGGGACCTTTTGGACAGCTTCCGCAATCACTTTCACTACATCTTCAGCCCGGTCAACAGAATCAACTGCGGCCCAGTACTGGCCACCAACAACTCTCCATCCCGGACATTCGTCATCCTGTGCCACACTCAGAGAGACCAGTGTCTTTACAGGCAGCCCTCGCTCATACCCATTCCAGAGCACTTCTTGAGAGAATCAACAACAATCCTATAATCTCCCCAGTTATTTCACTAGAGAACACAGCTGCACACAGTTACGGAAGAAAGATCTTCCCTTGTCCACAATGCCGCTACACAACTGACCGCAGGAATAATCTCAAGCGACACATGCTGACTATGCACCAGACCAGCTCCAAAATGCTGGAATGCTGCGGGATCTTGTTCAACACTAAGGCTTCGTTAAGAGAGCACGCGATGATATTCCACTACCACGGTTATACCTGCTATTTCTGTGGCCGGAGGTTTTGCAGAAAAGCCCTCCTTAAGCGCCATTTGTCGGTCCACAACGGGCAGAAAGATTTCGTGTGCAACGTCTGCGATTACGCCACATCCCACAAAAGCAATCTGGAGCGCCATCGAAAAGTCCACTCGCGACAGGATGACGGCAGAGATGGCGATGACGGACCGCGTTACCATGATGACGAGCACCAATACCACGACGAGGTCAAGTCCAACGGAAGTGAAGCCATTAGTCACGATGACGTCAGTAGCGATGACCTCTCCGTGTGCTCAGATTATGATGACGACATTGACGTCGAAATTAACGTTCACAGCGACTAATCTCTCAGATAACGGCAAAACCCATCTTTTATCTGTTTTAATCACCCACAAACAGCGCTATAACTCATTAAAATATGAACATATGTTACTTAAAGTCCCATTTGCCCTGGTGTAAACAGGTTCTAGTGATAACATTATAGGGCAAAATGGGCTACAGAGAAAATTGGAATATGATGCACAGATAAAGCTAGAAATAAGGAAAGAAAGCACGAACTTTATTTTCACAAGGGTCAAGATTTGGGCACACAGGCCCGTCTCATACTCCGCTCTTCTAGCCCCAGTCCTTGCATACATTATTCCTTACATAAATTATTCCTTACATACATTATTCTTTACACAAATTATTCCATCCATACATCATATAACAGATTATAGTGTACATCAAGAGAATGTGAGGCTGAAATATGTTCCAATTATACAATTCTAAACAATAATAGTACCAGATATAATCATTCTATGAAAAAAATAAAATTCTTAGCAGGCCATTATCATGGAAAAGAACATTTAGTCTCTGATACGGCGGTTTTCACCTCAGTGGTGCAACTCTTTAGGACATGACAGGAAGTTGCAATGAGGCATTAAGCAGTTTTGAAACTGAGTGCATTTGTACTTGTAACTGTTCTTCTTATTCTTTTCTCTACTCCTGGAATGCCTCGCGGCGTCAGGTGAGGAAGAGATCTCTAGAACAGGAGTTTCTGTTCGCTTCGTATATCGTTCTTTTCAGTGTCTTCGATATCTCTGCGGTCCATTTTCTGCGTGGTCGACCTCTGTGTCTTTTATCACTGTATCTGTATAACATTGCTCTCTGTGGTGCCCTGTCTGCTTCCAATCTTGTTACATGGCCAAACCATTTTGATTTGTTGTCTACCTATAAAGTTCAGTATTTTTTCTATGCCGATTCAATTTTTGATAACATCTTTTCTAAGTTGATCTTTCCTCGTTACGCCTAGCATAGTACGTAAACATTTCATTTCTGTCGTGACTATTTTTCTTCTGTACTTGGAATAATCAGTTAATTAAAACCAAAAAAAAAAAAAAAATTATAATTTAATTGTGAATATCATTTTTCAAAAACTACTTGTAAACTAAAAAGCCAACGACATTTTTGTTTTTATGAGCAGTTTGTACATCTGATGCTCAAAATTAATTTTAAAGGATTTACGTACATTTTATTTCAAATTTAGTTGGGGAACGGGGGAGAAAGGGGGGGGGGGGGGGCGCTTGCTATATATTCAAGAGAGCTCCTTCTGGAAAAGGATGAAAACCACTGCTGTACTTGTTTCCGTTTGTATATGTATCGGTTAGAGTATTTTTAACTCGCCGTGGAAATAATTTACAGGCGATCTTTGGAAAAGAGTTCAGAAGGCATTGTATTAGAGCAAGCAGTAAACTCTCGGTGAGTCGCTAGGTACTGAAAGAGTTGCTGAACCATAAACTTTGATGTTTCTCTGATGACCATCAAACCAGATCTGTGTTTGAACCCCATCAGCCCACAGCGTAGCCCTGGACACATTACTGTCAGGGTAGTACATCTTTCAATGGCATGTGTGAAACTGTTTGCTAAACTGAAGGTATCTGTGATGCGATAAGACGTCACTGACCTGAAAACTCAACATTTGCTAGTGACTGCTGGTGTTGGTTAGCCAGTTGTATTACTCTTGTTATATCCATATTAGGTCTGAAACATTATATTTATAAAAGTGATACTTTTGAGTTCATGCTGTGATTAATATCCGATGGGATGTTTGACGTGTGAATGTATGTGTGTGTGTGTGTGTGTGTGTGTGTGTGTGTGTGTGTGTGTGCGCGCGCGCGTAAATGTTTAGTGATAATAATCGATTTCCACGACATGCTATCCCCCCCCCCCCCCAACTCCTCCCCCACAATTGAGCCGGGGAATCCATACTGGGATTTTGGTATTAAGAAGAGAACTTTCCGCATTTCATAATTTTAGGGGGCATTCTGAACGTTCATCTTTACATTTGAAGAAAAGATATAAAACCGAACGAAAAATATATTAGCAGGCTTCACAATATAACAAATACAAACAAAACGTGAAAGTTGCGGCTATCGAGCCTTCATCAGCACATACAAATGAAACAATACTACACAGAAACACAAAATCACTTAGCTGGTATCTCGAAGCAGCCGGGTCGGTTGTTTCTCAGCAGAATTTTACATTTGGAGGTCTTTTATTTTTGGAATAGCAGATTGATCCTCTTGGGCATCTTTGTAGAGGTCTTTCACATGCTCTCACCATGTATATTAAATATCATCTCCTAAAGTTATGATATTACCTACTTCGGTTTCCACGCAACCCACTGATGCCGGTGATCTTTTACTGGTTGTGACCTCATTAATTCTTTTGTGCCCTAAGTTGCTATTTTGAATGTTATTTTAGTTTTGCTGAAATTTTACACAAGCCTCACTTCTTTTCCTTCTGCATATTGTTCTATGAATTCTTTTAATTTTTTTTTTTTTTTTTTTTTTTTTTTTTTTTTTTTTTTTTTTTTTTTTTTTGGTGTGGTTATTTTTATTGTTACTTCTCGCTTTTCTCTTCCATTAGTTCATGATGTCTTAAGTTATTCATTTTCTACTGTCTGTCAACTTCTGCTGTTGGGGCCTATTCTGTATTTCCCAGTGGTCCTCAACCTCTTGAAATAGATAAATCAGACAAACTGATAGCTCACATCCTAAACAAGTTAGGGCACTCTAAATATATGAAATTTAAAACTCATTTGTGTATTTTCAGTTCTAAAGTTATTTCAGTTTTAACACACCTGAGCAAGGTAGGTAGGTGGGTAGTTGTACCCCACCAGGACATCACACAAGAGATAAACACCCGGTGACACTACCATGTGGATTCAGATTACCCCTGGAGAGGTCCCAGAAACATCTTTCAGCCGTTAGGCCATATCTATGCCCAGGCTATATTCAGGGCCCCCGGCAGAAGCTAGGGTGTGGCTTCAAATAACAAAAAAATTACTTCTTACAAATATACGACATAAAAAATACAAAAATACGTCTAAGCAATCTATCTATTTCTATCTTTTTTTTTACCCCGCCAGGACATCACACACGCGATAAACACCCGATGACACAAAGTGCCACCATGTGGATAAGGACCACCCTGGAGAGGTTCCCAGAAACCGCGTTCAGCCATTAGACCATATTTATAACCGGGCTATATTGCGGCCCCTGTCAAGAGCCAGAGTAGGGCTTCAAGAAACGAAAAATTGCCTCCCACAAAGGGATGACTTAAATTGGAAACAAATAGATAGGTTGTAGGAACGAAACCGTACAAGAGAAACTCGTAAACAAACGTTGATGTGAGAGGCCAAAGCTGCTTGACTGGATTCCATTATGATATCGAAAAGATTGCCCAAACAGGACATAATGGAAGAACTGACTGTGAGCCCCATGAGACACACAACAGCACAACCGTCTGAAAATAATAATGATAATGAGTGTGACAATGATGGTTGTGGTGAATCAGTTTTATTCTATTGCAGGGACCGTGTGCCCCCCCCCCCCCCTTTTTTTTTTTTTTTGTCTAAATTATTAGCCTTTCTTAATAACGCTGTCACGAATAATGCGATTATTAAACAATCTGGAGCAAACGATGATCAAATGTTCACCTACATTTTGTCTATTTCAATTGTTGCCTCAAAAATCCCCATACCGGTTGCTGCTACACAGGCTTTCATTCGGAGCCGCCACGTTCTGACTGCCGCGCTGTTGATGCTTTGCTTTGGCACACTGCGCGACTGCTTTATCCCATTCTTATCCAGGTCGCTAATTCTGCATTGGTAGACCTTTTTTTGCATTTACAGCACGCTCAGCGGGCAGAACAGTCAAAGAAGCCAACGGCGCCTTCTCCATGACAACCAGCAGCATGACGATGGAGGTGATGGCAGTGACACAAGCGCTTGCCTGGCTTGAAAAGCACAAAAATACACCCGCGTGTGTATACTCAGTGATTCAATGAGTATGATCCGGAGGGTTCAGGCAGGTTCAGTGCGAAGACAATGGCTTGAATCATTACAGAAGTCCACTGTCCGTGGAGTCACCTTTATTTTTGTTCCGGGATACGCAGGCGTCGATGGAAATGAAAGAGCTGACAGGTTGGCTGGATCCGCTATCACTACCGACGGTCAGCCTATGGATCATGCTGATATTATTAATGCCCTCAGAGAAATGGGAAGGATAGACGACTTTGGTGGCAGTGAATCCACATCACTCGCCAGAATGGCAGACTTGGGAATTAAGATCGGCACATCAAAAAACGAGACGCACACCAGCTACGCCAGAAGACTTGTTAATCAACATAGAACTGGTACTATTAGCCATCGGACGTTGGGGTTCATACTGAGGGGAGGATCTGAGCACCTATGGACATGTCCGGAGTGCAATGAGGATAACCCAACTAACTAACTAACTAACTAACAGACCTTTTCTTGCATGAGGCCCCAGATTCTATAGTCCACGGGGTTAAGGTCTGGACTCTTGGGTGTCCATACAAATTTGATTCGACGAATACCGGTGTTTCCGGCGGGGAAAACTCATCAACACAATTTATACAAGATTTAATAATAACAGGAAGATTTTTTTTTTCATGGTTATTAACAATATATTTATTTTTTTTATTGGAGAGGGGGGGGGGGGGGGGGGGGGGGGGGGGGGGGGGGGGGGGGTGGGGGAGTCGAAACCAAATGCGGTTGGGGACGCAATGTGTATACTCGAAACCAAATAAAAACTAAAAACAAAATAAATACAAAAATGTACTCGAATGTCAAATTCAGAACCTTATACACCAACCTTATCGTTTATTGGCTTATGTGTGTTGTTGTTTTTTTTTTTTTAAAGGCAATTTTATGTTCGGCAGATTGTCATTGTTTGCTTAACATTGAGTTGCCAAATTCATTGTAAAAATCCCAGTGAAGCTTTCTGCTGTTTAATCATCTATTGCTGTCTTCGAGTCCTGGTATATCGGGCTTTTT